AGTTGATTTTTTCCAGCGGTAGTAAAATGAAAACATATATTTGGTGACTTCAATACACTAACGAATACCTGGCAACTAGTACGGTCGTTGAAGAAGAAGACTTCACAAAGTGGTAGTAAAACAACAATTTAGTTTGGAAATCTTTTCCAAAAATAAAACTATTAATACATCTATAATCATAACTAGCCAACAAATAGATCTTATCTACATACGTTTTTATTTAAATCATTGATTAATTGTAGTATTTTAAACTTCAAGTTTTAATTTTCCAAATCACCTATGTTTCTATTCCACTAAGAATATTATATTTTAAAATTTATAATGATTCCTTTCCTTTATTTAAAATAAATTGGGTGCCTGGGCCGCGCAGCGCCCTCTAACCCATCCATCATGAAAATAATGCAGTGTATACAGACATTTTGAGTTATGTGACAGTATGATTACATAATAATATTGCCATGATTAGAGAGTACAACTAGATCGAAGATTTACATGAATTGCAAAGAAAATTGAAAATAGCCATGATTAGATATTTATAATGATAGGGAGATAAATTGTTTTTTATTTTTATGCTTAATTTATTTAAATGTACGTAAAGTCATTTGAAATAAAATTTATAAATGTAAGGAATAAACAGAAAGCCTTCCATAACCACTTCAAATATAAAAAGAAAGATATTAAGGTAAATGCATAACAATTATTTAATTACACTTTAGAATTGCTCCTAAAATATTACATACCTGCCAACTATTCCGGATTTTCCGGAAGATTTTATTTTCATATTTAAAGTGGTAGTAATTATGTACTATTTTTTCTTTTATAATCTTAATATTTAAATGATATTGATCACCACTATTCTTACAAAAATTAAGCATATATATTAATATGCGTTACTCTCATGGTTGTCAACTTAAGTTTCCTCAAATACAACGTATTTGTTTGCTTAAAATTGAAGTTTTAATTCCATTTTAATACCACTGGGAAAAATGATAATGAAAGGGATTCAAAGTTGGTAGGTATGATATTACCACCTAGATTAGGCACCTGCCTTAACGGGTCCAATCTGATTTATTGAATAGGTATATGATTCAGATCAGTTTTATATGATGATTATATAATTAGTCATGCAATTATATTTGGAACATGTTTTCTTTATTGGTAAAATTAAATATTAGTGGAAAATTAATATCATTTTCAGCATTTATTTGGAAAAAAACAAGAAATTCGTGTCCAAAAAAATATATAATTAATATCTTCGCATCGATACTGAATTAAAGGAATGTGATATTTTCAAACCAACTACAGTTGCGAATATTAGAAAATGTCTACTTTGTTTTGGCGCAAATCAGTAATTCAAATATATAAGACACATACCTGCCAACTCTCCCGGATTTTGCGGGAGATTTTATTTTCATATTTAAAGTGGTAGTAAATATATACTATTTTTTCTTTTATAAATTTAATTTTTATATGATTTTGATCACCACTATTCTTACAAAAATTAAGCTTATATATTAATATGCGTTACTATCATGGTTGTCAACTGAATTTTTTTCAAATACAACGCATTTGTTTGCTTAAAATTGAAGTTTTAATTCCATTTTAATACCACTGGGAAAAATGATAATGGAAGGGATTAAAAGTTGGTAGGTCTGAAGACATATTAAATAATTATACATTTCAATAGTGGCGAAATGACTTGAATTGTATAAAATTCTTAATCCTTTAAGCAGAACTGCTAGCCATTTGGCAAATTTAAGAAACTGGAAAAAAGAATACTTAATTATGCCTCTTTTTTCGGAAAAATTAAACACACGGTGTCTATAAGTAAAGCATGTATAATATATTCATTGCGCCTGTGTTTATAGCTCTTAACATCTTCGAAACGGGTGAGTCATATATGCATTCTTAGTGTGTCGATAATCAAGGTAAAAAAGAAAAAAAACTGGTAGCCAAACCATTTTTATAGCTGTTTATTTGAGGGTGAGGTAATAATAGTCTGCTTTATTTAACTCCCCACTACTTAGTACGAATTAAAAATTGTATAGTTACACTTTTAACAACCTGGGAATGGATGTGTTAGATTTTAAGTGAAAGCAAAAATAAGTCTGTCAAATTAGATGTGCCAAACTTAAGCTACCGCTTTTGATTTTTTACTATCCTGATTCTGATTCCGTACGAATACATTTAAGACTCGCCAATCCCAAAAAGTAATTTAATAAGTGCCGTTACAAAAAGTTTAACCTCTGCTGAAAAAAGGGAAAAACAGAAATGTACTTACTACCAGTTTTTTACCTTTTTCTGCTTAAGTAGCAGTCATGTTTAAGAATTTATAGTTATCAATCTTACCAAACTACCATGCTAGTTGGTATCCATGAGTATAGTATAGAATGTAACTGCTAATAATACCGGTGATAAAATTTTTTCTACTCTAATTTTTTCTAATCTTTTCAAATCTAATATTAATTTTGCTTGGAAATCTGCAGATTTTTTCTAATTATATTTTCAGTTAATTTATTTTTATCTGGATTGTCAAGTATGGGTTTGTATGCATACATATAACGTATGGTCCATTTAAAAAGATAAATTAAAGCAAAAAATATTATCTTAACCAGACCTGCCAGCTTTTATACCTTCTGAAGAGGTATATTCCCAAGCAATGATAAATAACTAATTGAAATGCTATGATGTTTTACACTCCTTTTTGTTTCCTTATATCTATATATATATACTTATACAGAGATGCCAACTGCTCCGGACAAGCTAAAATAATTTAAAAAACGGTAAATAAATACAATTCGAATTTGAAAATATTTGACTAATTTTTCTTACTTTTTAAAAGGATTAGCAAGAATTAATTACAGCTAAGTGGCGAATTATATAAGTCTTCGAATTATTTTGAAATAGTGGTGGATAAAAATCTATTAAATTAAATTTATTAAACCAAAAATCACAATTTATAAACTACCACTCGAAAATATTAATTCGCTGTCCGGAGCAAGTTGGCATCTCTGCTTACATATAAATTTTTTATATAATATTTTTTCATATATAATATTGATTTATTTGCATTTAGTGGTAGTCAAAATCATATTAAATTAAATTAATAAATGCGAGAATAAAAAATAAATTTATATAATTCATTAATGAAATGCTACGGACAGTACGTAGTTGGCAGCTATGTCTTCACGTATTGCATCATAAACTAAAATGCATTGTAGCCTTCTTCCTACCACTACCTACGTAGCAGAGAAGTGGGGACAGTTAGCATTTATTCGAGAGATTTTTTAAGAAAAATCCTCTTCAGGAATATAAATTACATAAAAATTGCAGCTTGTATACAGAAACCAACTGCAGATTTAAAATCAGCGACACGAAAATGTCCGTTTAAAAAATCTAATGCCACGGGGAAAAACTCTTCCCCAGAGTTTTGGGTTTATAATTCCTTTTGAAAAAGCTAAAAATGTAATGTAATTAGCAGTCGGATGAGTGGCACCTTTTGCACGATCTTGAAATTATTTTCCTAATACAGTGAGAAAAGAATTAAACATTTAATTTTAGATACATAAATGTTTGCTATTGTTCAAAATCATACCATTTTTCATTATCACAAGGATTTCAACTTGCTCCATTTTGTAGAAATGTTTTTTTTCTAGTAGTCTAAAATTTATGTTAAAACTTGGGTTAGTAAATTTCATTTAAGGATTTGTTACCCACTTCTACTCTTAAACAATTCAAATATTCATAAAACATTCAAAATTATTCGAATCATTTCGTAGTCTTCGTCAGCCTTTTAAAGCAAGTCTACCTAATCCATTCATCTGGAATTTTAGCACTATTATGGTTGAGCATTGAAGTAAGCAGGCAGTGGAGTTGCTTTTATGAATGTTTCAAGCACTTTGCTTGAATAATTAAAACGAATTCAAAATTAAATTTAACAGGACTGATATCATGCATTTGTAAAAAATTTTTATTTATTTACTTTTTGTGGTGTTTAAAATTCTTCAAAATTAAATTTATAAATTCAAGAATAAAATAATATTTTATTCTTGAATTTATAAATACCTGCCAACTTTTACGCATTTGGCGTAAAATTTTATTTCTATGTTTAAAGTGGTAGTAAAATGTATGCTTTATATATATTCCTTCCATTTATAAACTTAATTTAAAAATCTTTTTCACCACCACTATTTTTAAAAAGTTTTAGCATATATATAGATATAAAATACTGTCGTGTTTGTCCAGATAAGCTTTATCCAAAAACAGCATATGTTTCTGCTAGAATTGGGTATAATATGAAAAAAACACAACTACTTCGATTTAGTAGGAACAACATATGACGCAATGCTAAACGAATGGAATTTAGTTGTNTGCTACCCCACTCAGATGAATGAGTTAGGGCCCCTTCGGGGCCGATACTTAGATACCCACCTCACATAGGCATAGGCATAGTCGTGTTTGTTCAGATAAGCTTTATCCAAAAACAGCATATGTTTCTGCTAGAATTGTAATTTAAATTCAAATTTACTACCTCTGGTCAAAAACAATCCTCGAAAGGATTAAAAGTTGGCAAGTATGAAATATATATAAGAACATAATTTTTACTATCATTTTTAATACAAAAATAAAATCTTCCGGGAGTTTTAGCAGCTATGATGACATATAATATTCAAAGTCAATTAAAAAACTAATTCGAGTAATTGACAAAGTTTTTAGTGTCTAGAAAAACCAGTGCACTATGATTACGATCTCGAGCATCGTTCCCTGCCATTATGAATGCAACATTATTTCAATTTGTTTACATCCTTCACAGGAATCACAACCCTAAGATTCTCCCATCTTATCATGTCAATCATTGCTAGCTTCCCAGTTTACACGTGATTACAAAATAATCTTCTCTCGTTGACAAAAAAAAAAAAAAAAAAAAAAAAAAAAAAAAAAAAAAANAAAAAAAAAAAAAAAAAAAATAGAAGAGGGGACTGTTTTTCTTAATTTTCTTCACCGTCAGACGGCGAATTGTAATTTATCCATTCATTTTTGTCGGCTGCTCCTCCTGCTTTCTTCGAAGGAAAGTAGGACTTCTACTCAATATGCTATGCATCTTGTTTTCTTTCTTGGCATCGACTCCAGAAGCGAGTCTTCTTTTTTCTTTCTTTTCTTTTTTTCTCTCTTCATCTGTTTGCGTTCGCTTTCACTGACCTAATGTTCGCTCCCGCGTAAAGAATGTTGTTGCTTGAAATGATAACAAGGAAACATTGGGAGAAATGTGATTTTGAATATAAGTTTTAATTACATAAAAATAATTGTTCCCCCAAATGTTGTGGATAAACAGTTAATTTGGGTGAGTAAAATTCAAATGATAAATATGATTATTATTTTTTTTTTAATTTAAGAAAAAATTATGTTTTTTTGAAGTGCAGCATCAGATTTTTTTTTTACACTTCATCATTGGATCAAATGCTTTTATCCCAAGCGTTAACCGATTTGTAAACTTATAAATCCGGAGATATCTTAATTTTTCCAAAGAGTTTCCACTCTTTTATATTCCACTCTTTTACAAACTATTAAAAAACAACTATGAGATATTTTCTTATCAATTACAATTTGCTCCAATAGCAATTTTCCAAACAATCTTATTTTTGAAAAATATTTGAAGGGCTTTTGAGCAACGCGATAAGCAACATTTTAAAACTGATCAGAAAAGCGCTCTTTAAGATTGCTTTCGATGAAACACTGTAATTTTCACGTAGACAATAAGAAGTTTCTGTATACTGTGGTGCTAACTAGTAGAAGGTCTCGAAATTCGAAGTACTACTTATCTGGAAACAATTCTTAGGAACAGTTTGATTTAAATAAGTCACCATTATAAATAGTAAGTCTTAACCTGATCCTTTCAATGTATATTTTATTTTATAATTGTAGTTGAACAGTCGACCCAATTTCGGGTTTACGACTATTTATGTTTACTCCATAACCTTGCAATTTTGAACCCAACCCAGAAGGCAAAGGAACTCCTGGATCAAGTATAGGGAGATATTTGCCTTCGCGGGGACTGCATTTTTGTCACAGTGAGAGGAAAACCTCCCACAGTTAGTTTGACTGCAAGGGGACACTAATCTATGATCCGTCTACCAATGAGAATATTTTACGTCAGCACTGTGGTCGCCTTTTAATGTAAAGCGGTTTCGAACCTGCTACATTTTACGCTTAAAGTTTGTCTCAATCAAGGAATTTTTTTTCTCTTAAGTTCTATGCTAATTGAAGTTATATGTTATATGAAGTCCATTTTGCCAACTTATCTCTAAAGAAATGACTCTGAGATAATGACTTTTTTTTTTCAATTAGCTATATTTCGCTTCATCTGGATAAGGTATTTTAAAAAAAAACTTTTAGGTTGTAGATTATGTTAGTAAGTTTGCCATGAAACAACAATTTTATTATAATACAACATCAACAAACTTCCTTTAGCTGGTCAAGTATAACTAGGTACAGTGCGGGAAAAAAAAAAACCTGGACCACTCTGAATAACTTTTTACTTACTGATCGCTTTTTCACGTTCTAGGACTCAATGGTTCGAGGGGGTGACCGAAAATACGTTAATCATTAGCGCAAATGATATTTTGAGTAATCAAACACAAAAACGTACATTCTCTGAATAAACAGACCATTTTTTCGACGGATTCGGATTTCTGACCCCAAAAACATAGGGAGTTGCCTCTCTCTGGGAAATATGGTCCCCAATAGAAGAGCTTTCCAAAATCTGAACCCGTTTATGTTAATTTTACATTTTGTATATTTCACCATTTCTCGGCAACTTTTTAAGTGAACTGAAAAATGCTTACACACAATTATAAAATTAGTTTATACAAATATAATTTTGTGCAAAGAATAACTGTTGGTAAATATTTATTTTTTTGCACAATATTCTTTTTGGATAAACGAATGTTATAATTGTGTGTAAAAAATTTTCAAATATTTCTTGAGATATGAGGAAATACGCAAAAAGTAACATTAATATTCTACAGTCGAAACTTTAGATTGCTCTCACAGACCCCACGATGGGGTTCCCTGATTATGGCTATTCCCTATATTTCGCGGCTGAGAAATCTGAATCCGTCGAAAAAAAGGTATGTTTATGCAGAGAAAGTACGCTTTGGTAACTTAAAATATCGTCGGCATAATTAATTTTATTGGAGGTCGCCCATTAAAAAATGACTTCTAGAAAGTTAAGATTCATGAAATTCTAAAATTGTCCAGTGTGCTGAGATGCCAACTGCATACCTGCCAACTTTTAATCCTTTCGAGGATTAATTTCCTCAGTGGTAGTAAAATGGAATTTAAATTGCAATTTTTGGCAGAAACATACTTGGTTATTTAGAAGGGCTTATGCAGACTACAAATTTATATTACATATTTATATATACGCTTAATTTTTTTAAAAATAGTGGTGGTCAAAAAGTTTATAAAATGCATTAAAAGTTTATAATTTTAAGTTTATAAATGCAAGGAATATCTAGAAAGTATACATTTACTACCATTTTAAATATAGAAATAAAATTTTACGCCAAATGCGCTAAAGTTGGCAGGTATGCAACTGCTCCGGACACTCTAAAATAATTAATATACGGTAAATAACTTCAAAGTAAATTTTGCCAATATTTGCTTGCTTTTTAAAAGGTATAGCATGACATATTACTTTAAAGTGGTGAATTATATGAGGTTAAGAATTATTTAGAAATAGCGGTGGATAAAAATCTGCTAAATTGAATTTATTGAACCAAGAATCATAATTGATAAACTACCACTTTTAAATATATATTTGTTGTTCGGTGCAAGTTAGCATCTCTGAGTGTGTCTTAATAATTTTTCGCACATTGAACGGTGTTACAAGAAGTTAATTTTAAAATGCCAACTTGCGTCAGCCTTTATTTAAATTTTAACAACTCAACATTCATATTTGATTAAAATGTCTCATGAAAGCATTTATTTATACAAAAAGTTTTTCTTTATATAGCGGTAGTTATGAAAAATTAATAAACTAGTTTAGTCTCAAATTTCAATTACACATTTAGGCATTCACCCAAATGATGGGTAAAAGCGAGACGGAAAAGAAAAAAAGCTGGTACTAAAGCCATTTCAGATTTAACTTGTTTTAGAGAGGAGTAAACCTATTCCCTTCTTCAAACTATTTAACATTATCGTCTTCTCATCAGGATGCTGGATATTTCGGATAGCTCAGTGTTTGGCTCGAAGCGCTACTAACTGATTCGTTGAATCTGTGTTGTCCTATATTATCAGGCCGTAAGGGAATAAGCTTATGTTAGTTTTTCATCCGGAAAGAAGCAGTTTTACATATATGGAATAATTGTAAAAAAAAATCGTGAAAGTTATAGAAATGCAATGTTTCTTTAAAAAATGCTAGAACAAGATCCCTTTCGTACCAGTCTTTTTTTTCCGTCTTGGTATGTATAGGCTTTCAGTCCTGTTCCCAATACCCATACCCTCCAACTGCTACGGAATTTCCGTAGTTTCAGAAATCTTCTTTTCAGACGGTAGCAAAATTAATGTCTTAATATTTAAAAAAAAATTATTTTTAGNGTCTTCGTGGAGAATTCTTTTGATGGAAACTAACCAGCATTTTGGTTACAGTGAGAGAAAAATTTTATTTCGCGCATTGAACGATGCTACAAGCAGTTAATTTTAAAATGCCAACTTTCGTCAGCCTTTATTTAAATTTTAACAACTCAACATTCATATTTGATTAAAATGACTATTGAAAGTATTTATTTATGCAAAATGTTTTTCTTTATATAGCGGTAGTTATGAAAAATTAATAAACTAGTTTAGTCTCAGATCTGAATAACACATTTATGCATTCACCCAAATGATGGGTAAAAGCGTGACAGAAAAGAAAAAAAGCTGGTTGTAAAACCATTTCAGTTTTAACTTGTTTACGGGAGGAGAAAATCTATTATCTTCTTCTCATCAGGATGCTGGATATTTCGGACAGCTCAGTGTTTGGCCCGAAGCGCTATTAACTGATTCGTCGAATCTGTGTTGTCCTATGTTATCAGGTCATAAGGGAATAAGCTTATGTTAGCTTTTCTTCCGGAATGAAGCAGTTTTACATAGATATATAAATATGCAATAATTGTAAAAAAAAAATCCCGGTAGTTATAGAAATGTAATGTTTCTTAAAAAAATGCTAGAACAAAATGCCTTTTATACCAGTCTTTTTTATCCGTCTTGGAATATATAGGCTTTCAGCCCTGCTCTTAATGCAAGACAATGCCATTATTACAAGTGCCGACGGACACAACTTCGGATGAAAGTGTGATGTGTCCGCCTCGTGGACAGGTCCACTGAAATAGAACTCAGATCAAGTTCCTAATGCTAGTGTCCATTTTGCTCTCCAAACTCTATTTTTGTCATGTATGTTGTTTCTTTGTCTAAATTCAAGATGAATGGGAAAAGGGCCGTAAGGCCTCAGATGCCCAGGTACACTACAACGAAACCAAATACAAATAGCCCCACAACGTGGAAAAATTAAAAAAATGGTGGTGACGAATTTTTCTTCAAATTTCTTAAAGTTTCATAAATTTAACGTCCAATTTAATTATATAAAATCAGTTTCACATCATGATAAATGCACTGAAAATATTTTTATCACATATGAATACTTCAAAGTATGTAGGGGTAAAATCGGGTATCTATATTGTGGCGAAACTATATCTGTTTTCCAGCAGACAAGCTCGGAACCACACTTTACTACTCAAGTAGTATCTACCATATTGGCTTGCTGTTGATTAATTCATGGCGTCTATGTAGACAAGTTTGTTTAAACTCGTCAATTCTCTAATGTTCTTTTGTTTTTAAACTATTCCTTTTTATTGGACATGACCGTTATGAAAATAATTTTCAGCCCAACTTACTTTACTAAAGATTTATACGTTTACTAAAAATTCATACCCTAACAAACAATAAGGGTTAGGCTAATAATAGAGCTGTTTTGTTTCATTTCGATCTATGACCTATGCGGTAACCTATAGAAATAATTTTTAGCTCAACTTATTTTACTAACGATTCATAACCTAACAAACAATAAGGATTTAGTTTAGCCTAACAATAGCGCTGTTCTATTTCATTTCGATAACCTATGCCCTCGAGTCAGATGAGGTGTTACCAGATGCTGCCCCCCCCCCCTGGATGTATGTCTTTGCTGGGCTCATGAAAGTTGCGGTGCAGCAGAGGAAGAAGATAATTAAAGAATATTATGAATGTAATTTACATCACGTGTAAATTATATGTATAAATAAATGTCGATTACTTGTTCACTGAAATTCTACCTAATTTTCTAATAGGGTTAGCATGTTTCCCACTCATGGTCTTACACCACTAGTGAGCTGATTTCACCACTAGTGCGGTGATTTTCCTTTTTCTAGAAAAAATTATTTACAAAAAAAGTAGTACATGAACGACTTTTCAGGAATTGTACACAACTAAACAATGGATATTTTGATTAAATCTGACCGTTTTCACGTCTAACAGTCTAGCTCCAATAGGCCTTCGAATCTTAGCTACCCGGTCTTACCTCACTTTTCCTTGCATTTTTTTTCCTGAAATTTAATTTAATTTATTTTTAAAACTAAGTTAAGTTTATTCCAGTGTAAAACAATTTCTAAGGCGCGCCTAAAGAATAGGCCCTAAACAAAATATATCAGGAGATTGCAGAGGTTAAGTAAACAGATAGAACGAAAAAATTGACAAACGCGTTACGCTTAAATAACTTGACACACGTCGGTCACATTTTCTTTCATCTGGGTTTTGAAGTGTACACCTAAATGTGCAGACGTTTTATTTTTCGATTAACTTTTTTTTTGGTTGTATGGATTTGGATTTCTTTGTCATATGGAGTTTATTGCAGACTAGGGAATGCTCTCCACCCAATGAGGTGCCCTGGATTCGAATCCCAGGGATGGCTAGTCAATACAAATTCGGCACCTGGCTTACACTGACCACAGTGCTGCAGTAAAATATCCGCAATGGTAGACGCATCAAGGGTTAGAGTCCGCTTGCCATCAGGCTAACCATGGGAGGTTTCCGTGGTTTTCAGAGATGCCAACTGCTCCGGACAAGACAAAATAATTAAAAAAGCGGTAAATTACTACAAGTAGATTTCGCAAATATTTGACTATTTTTGCTTGTTTCTTAAAAGGTGTAGCATTACATAAGCACTCTGAAGTGGTGAATCATATAAACCTACAAATCATTTAGAAATAGTGGTGGATAAAAATTTACTAAATTGAATTTATTAAACCAAGAATCACAATTGATAAACTACAACTTCAAAATATATATTTGCTGTCCGGAGCAAGTTGGCATCCCTGGGTTTTCCTCTCCATGTAACGCAAATTAGGTTTATTTCCATCAAAAAATTCTCTACGATACAATTTTCTCCCACTACTTGAGTTAAAGTATCTAAGAGTTCCCTTCTCTTCTGGATTCTTTTTATTAAAAACTTTGAACTTATAAAGACGTCAAAATAATTATGTAACATTAGAGCAAAAGTGATTTCATATCACACTACAAAAACTATAATGAAATCTCAAAAATAACCAAGCTCGTATAATATTTACAAAGTATGGCTTATATACCTTTGTTAATAGGTTCAGGGATGAAAGCTTCGTATACAGGGCTGCCAAACTCTCTAAGCTTTTAGAAAAAATTTATTCTAGTGGTAGCTATGTTCATGTTTTAATGCATTATTTTTTATTCACTTAATCTTATTATCCATACCATGATTTAAAAATTCATTTGCGATGCAACTTTTAGAGATGCCAACTTGCTCCGGAAAGCGGATAAATTTGTTCGAGTAATAGCCTTTTAATGCACGATTCTTGGTTAAGTAAATTCGATTTATAGCAGTTTTACTCACTGCTTCTAAATAATCCAATTTCTTTATTATTACGTCACTTTGTTGCTGTTAGGAACTGTTGAGCGTTTTAAAAAGTCAAGAAAATTTACCAAATCCTGCCAATTTTAGCTTGTTGTTCTTTACCGATTTTTAAAGTACGGAGCAGTTGGCATCTCTGTACTTAGTTGCTGCTCTTTCGCAGTAAAGCTTTTAAAATGCTGGCAAAATTATCACAATTTCTGAAAGCATTTGTTTTTAAGTGTCTACCACTCTATAAAATATTTTTCAAAGCGCGCAGTAGCTGGCAGGCCTGTATATACTCAGAGATGCCAACTTGCTCTCGACAGTAAATATATATTTTAAAGTGGTAGTTTATCAATTGTGATTCTTGGTTTAATAAATTCAATTTAGTAGATTTTTATCCACCACTATTTCTAAATAATTTATAGGCTTATACAATTCACCACTTTGAAATAATTATGTCATGCTATACCTTTTAAAAAGCAAGCAAAAATAGTTAAAAATTTGCAAAATTTACTTTGTAGTATGTACCGTTCTTTTAATTATTTCGGCTTGTCCGGAGCAGTTGGCATCTCTGTATACTCTTCAAGACAATATGCTAAAAAGAAATGGTTTTACTACCAGTTTTCCCTCTTTTCAGTCTAACTCTAGTCAACTGGAGCAGCAGATAGCACAGGTTTTATATTTTATTTTATAACAGACGTTGAACAGTCTACCCAATTCTGAATATGTGATCATCGAAGTTCAATTTCCATAGCTGCCAACTCTTCCGGTTTTCCCAGAAGATTTTATTTTCATATTTAAAGTGCTAGCGAAATTCATGTTATTTCACTAAACTTTTTGAATTATAATAATAATTATAAATGAGTTTGACCACCACTACTTATAAATAATTTCAACAAATATATAAAAAGCATATTAGTCCTTACGACAGCGAATTTCAACCTGGTTAAAATGCAAATATATTTTTGAGTAAAACTGTTTTTCGGTAATTGTCTTACTACCACTTGGAAAATCCATTCTCGAAAAGAGTGAATGTTGGTAGGTATGAAGTTTTGAACCCAACCCAGAAGACAAGGGAATTCCTGNCATCGAAGTCCAATTTCCATAGCTGCCAACTCTTCCGGTTTTCCCGGAAGATTTTATTTTCATATTTAAAGTGCTAGCGAAATTCATGTTATTTCACTAAACTTTTTGAATTATAATAATAATTATAAATGAGTTTGACCACCACTACTTATAAATAATTTCAACAAATATATAAAAAGCATATTAGTCCTTACGACAGCGAATTTCAACCTGGTTAAAATGCAAGTATATGTTTGAGTAAAACTGTTTTTCGTTAATTGTTTTTCCGTAATTGTGTTACTATACCACTTGGAAAATCCATTCTCGAAAAGAGTGAATGTTGGCAGGTATGAATTTCATAGCTTTGCAATTTTGAACCCAACTCAGAAGACAAGGGAGCTTTAGGATCACGGATTGGGACAAACTAGTCTCCGTGGAGAACTATAAGTTGGAACTAATCCGCATTTGCGTTATATGTATAGAAAAACCATGAAAACCTCTTACGGTTAGCATGACGGCAAGAGGACAATAAGCCATGATCATTATCATTGATAATATATTTCACGTCAGCACTCTGCTCGGCTGGCTTGAGATGGGAGCAGAATTCGTATCAACCAGTCAACGCTGGGATTCGAACCTGGGCCACCTCATTGGGAGGCGAGTGCTAAATCCCCTGAGCCATCGCGGCTCTATGTAGATATTTGAAATTGATTTATTTATGTCAAACACAAAACGTTTTTTCATGACAGTTTTCATGTTATTTTTTTTATTATCCTTTTCAAAAATAAATCGAAACAAGTGTACGCATTAACCGCTTGATTACTAAAGAAATTGTGAAGAAATATAAAATGATTATTAGAGAAACCTCGCAGTTTCAACGGACTATTTATCTTGTTTTGATGTTTTATTTCCCGCTTTTTTAAATAAGGATTTATTAGATTTCAATTTCGTTTTTGTTTCAACCTCGCTGAAATTACTATTTGCTATCCCCAATGAGTAGACTTTCTTTACTTCAGTTTCGGCATGAATTTAAAAATTCAAATTAATTCGATAAAGAACGGCACGCCTTATAAATTGCGTAGGAATACAATTAACTCTTATGCATTATCGAAATCTTAAATTTACGTTTTATGTGGATGGAACAGATTTTATTTAAGCATAAAATGGTTTTGCATGAAATTATTAATCATATTTGCACACTACCAAACTTTTACATAAACGTTACAAATATTTACATCTCACGGTGGAGAAAATATATGTTAATGAATTCATTCGCTTTATATGGGAAGGTAAACCACGAAAAACTCACACAGTTAGCCTGACGGCAAGGAGATTCTGTCCCATGAACCGTCTACAACTGAGGATATTTTACGTCAGTACTGTGGTCTGTGCGAGCTGGAAGCAAAATTCGTATCAACAAGTCACCACTGGAATTCGAACCTGGGTCACTTCATTGGAAGACGATCGCTCTAACCTCTGAGCTACTGCGGTTCAAATAGCACAGATTAGAAAAAGAGAGCACTAGGATACAAGCCCCCCTACTCCCACGGAGTGTTTGGTGAAACGGAGATACTCTTAGACGACGGAGGCCCTAGTTATGGAGAAACTAATTTTATTAGGTTATAAAATAAAAAAAATTTCAGAAAATTTAAAAAAAAGGATTTTTGACTAAGTTCATTTTCTTTAGAATATTTTTAAAACGGATGAAATTTTCTACTGGTAAAAGTAAAATTTAATGTGTTACATAAAATCAAATAAATATATATACTGTTATAAAAAATAAATTCAAAAGAAGTCAAACTCTTTTTAATTGGTAAATGAAGATTTTTTAAAGAATCATTTTTATAGCTTTAAATATAGTGAGAAAAAAATCTAAATCTGATGTTTGTATAATTATATTTGCTAATTCGTATTTAGGTTATTACTTTTTACTTCACTTCCATTCCATCAATATGAATCATCTTGGGTTTTGGATTATTCCATTTTTATGCTTCACTAGTGTTCTTTTCATTAAAGGTGAGTTAAATCACATTTTCTAAATCTTGAAAAATTGCTTAATTCACTAATTCTTACATATATTTAGCTACTATGATAAAAGTAAGAATTGAACTAAAATATAATCTTAAAACTACCACTGATTCTCAAAAAGGAGATATTTATTATTTATAATAATATTTAATTACTGTATTATAATTACTAGTTATTGATATGAACAAAAATAATTTTCCCAAGTGGTAGTTAGTTGGCAACTGAATTACAATTGTAGGCAAAAATATTTTTTTTCGTTTTGCCAGAAGTTAAACACACCATCGGTGATTGTTATGTCTTTATATTTAATTTTCTTCATGTATGAAATTACTAGTCCGAATCATTTTAAAAAAATAATTATTAATTCAAAATATGAAAATAAAATATAAATTTTTCTACCACTTTAAATATAAAATCTGGCTAAAAATTCATGCAAATTGCCAGCTAAGAAATAATGGGGTTTTACAAAATTAAGGAACTAGTGCGATTCTAACAATATGTAAACGATCTTTCTCATAGCAGCATATGTTTAGGAAGATTTTACATAGGAAACGTTAGCACATGTAAATGAGAAGGGGACGTTCCTATTAACTTGGCTTTAAAACTTACACTCTCAAAAGTTCGAAAACGAATTGCAATTTTTATATTAAAAAGTTTTTTTTAATTGTAGTGGTGTTAGAAAAAAAAGTAAAGATGCTTTTAACTTCATGCACTGATTTTAGTAGATGCAAATATCGCCTTGATGAAAAAGACACGATTTCTAAAAGCTTTAAGTATGATCTTTCAAACTGTGCCAAAAGTTTTGCAATGTAAAATTTTCCAAACCATCTTCGGCTAAAAGAAAGACTGTTTACATATGGTTATTATTTACATATGGTTTACATATCGAAGTATTTTGAAATCGTTTAATAACATTACATACACAGTAGTAATAATTTGAAATAGTGAGTCGATTTCATGAACCTAGATTTCAAACCCGTAAAATAAATTCACTATTTTGAGGAAAAAAAAACAGACGGTTTAATTAGAAACATTAATTTTACTCAATTTCGTTTTAGAAACTACAACAACTTTGGAGCAACGCTAATTGTAATTAATGATAATTATGTTTCAAGTTTAAAATTTTATTCAAATTAAGCTTTGTATTAGGTCTTGATCTATATTCTGACTTATATAGAACGAAAATTAAACTCCAATCCCCCTCATTCAGATTAAAATTATCTGACCCTTCATAATCTTTCTAGTAAGGTACCGAGAAGTTTCAGTGGATCTCAAAGAGTTTAAAACATGGATCACAGATTTTGAACAGTTTCGAATGAAGAATTTTTGAGTGAAAATGATATTATCCGTGATTTGCATTACATGGAGTGAAAATTCACGGTAAACTTCCCACGATGAGCCCGATGGCAATGGATTCTTTTTTTAATTTTGAATCGAATGAAATTAAAATCATGTGGATAGAACTAATTGTTCAGATTTTGCAAGTTATGAGGGATGCATGCAGACGAAGTTCTATTTTTAACTTATATTTACGTACGATTAAAGCCATTTCAACTTTGCATCTTCTAATCTTTGCTATTGGTTTGTAATTTATACAACTCAGGATAAAAGTATTCCGAAAAAAGGGATTGTACTTTTTATATATAAAATTTTTTTTTTCTTTTTTTTTACAACTTCTAAAATAATAGTACAGTAAGTTGGGTTTTGGTCTCGCTCGATATTCATAAACCTATGAAAAATCGAAATCTCAGTTGTGCCGATAACAGTAATTATGTTTCCCTTTGTTGCCTTTTCGCAAGTTGAATACAATACATGAGTTCATACAGTTTTTAACCTCTAACTAAAAAGAAAGGGTATTTATTGGGATGAAGCTGGAGGTAGACCTTTTTAGGTGTTACTCTACTAATTATATATTTTCAGGTGATCCAGAATTATTTAATGAAAAAGCCCAACTGGTATTGCAGCGCACACTAAGAAGAAAAACGAACAGTAATGTTGCTAAAAATATAGTATTAATTGTGGGAGATGGAATGAACCTGGCAACAATCGCAGCGGCTAGGATATTGAAAGGTCAAAAAGCAGGTCGAAGTGGAGTAGGGGAGGAGATGATCTATGAAGCTTTTCCTAATGTTGGACTTGCTAGGGTAAGTACTTTTCAATAAACACCAGTTAATAGCTGTATATTAACACTTTCGGTTTGCAATTGGATCTGCTTTTTGAAGCAGCTGACCTAGACGCTTTAGTCCTTCCCCCCTTTAAGTAGCAATAAAATAACGATTAATCCAGCTGTCACTAAAAATAAGTTTGGGCTCGCTTTTGGAAGTTCGAGCACACCTGAATTCGACATATGTCGAATGCTAGAATCCGAGTCCACGAGATATACGTAGAATATCCTCGTGATCCTCGTAGAATTTCGTGATCTCACCACTCGGCCGTTGATGTCTAAACAAGAAAATTAGTCATTAATCCTTTTTTATCACAATCCCGTAAAACAAAAAGTAAAGCAAAACATTAGAATTGAATCCGCAAGAGCCGTGATGGCTCAGGAGATATAGCGTTCGCCTTCCAATGAGGTTAACCGGGTTCGAATCCCAGCGATGGCTGGTCGATACGAATTCCGCATCCGGCTTGCACCGACAACAGTGCTGACGCGAAATATCCTCAGTGGTAGACGGTCCATGGGTGAGAGTCCTCTTGCCGTCAGACTAACAGTGGGAGGTTTTCCTCTCCATGTAACCCAAATGCCGGTTAGTTCCATTAAAAAGTCCTCCATGAAGGCAAATTTCTCCCAATACTTGATCCAGGAGTTCCCTTCCCTTCTGGATTGTGTTCAAAATTGCAAGGTTACAGAGTTGAACATTAGTAGTCGTATATATATATATATATATATATATATATATATATATATATATNATATATATAAACCCCAAAATCCGATTTTTTTTTAAAAAAATTCCGGCTGTTCAAAGACGGTTATAAAAAAAATTTAAATTCGTAAGAAAAATGTCGAAAAGCAATTGTCAACAACAGCAAACATTCAAGATTTTTATCGTCTGTTAGATTCCCAGTCAGCCATGAGGTTTTACCATGAGTCCATCTCATCTCTTATAGTCCGGTAAAGATTTTAAAAGTGTTAGGAAACTTACGTTAACCCTTACCGGCACAGTGTGGCAACACCTAAATAGCAGTCTTTTTTTTACATGTTCTAGTTAAAGTTCTATGTAGTGGTAGCGATATAACAATTAAAAACAGAAATTGTTTGAGCTGTGGAACAATATTGTTTGTATTTATATATGTTTATTCAAATTATTTATATAGACTGACTGTCATACTTCTTTAAACCAAGATAATAACATTAATATACAAGTGGTGTTATCACATTAAAATTACAAAGATTTGTCACCAAAATATATATATATTTTTCCCCAGTGCCCACCTGTGCTAACATCCGTCAATTTAGGCATATATAGGGCTATTTTGTTGGCCTCTTTTTCAGGGGCACCATATTAGGTGGGCCAACGTCGCTCCCACTGTGAGGACAGAAAGTACAGAGAAGGAAAGAACATCCATTCCTTGCCCGGGATTCGAACCCAGAACCTTTCTGATGCAAGGACAGTTCCTTGCCCCTACACAGGACGGTCGCCTTCTCAACAAAATAAAAAATAATAATACAAACTTCTAAAGATGTAATAGTATATGCGACTAAAGATAATATTGGCTAATTTTTTATTTCGTACTTTATTTTATTTGGAGATATAAAATGATAGCAAGATTTTTTCCTCTCTATTTCATTCTTGAATTTTAAAAAAACTCATTTGAAATTATTTTATACACCATTACATAAGAATAAATTAAACATATAGATATAGAAATGGTCATTAGTGAGAGAAAAAACTAGATTTGACAGTACAGACATGCCAACTGTTCCGGGCGAGCCATATTATTTAAATAACGGTTAACAGCTACTAACTAAAATTGCCAAGTTCTGCTTACTTATTAAACGGTATAGCACAACTTGCCTATAACAAAGTGCTATTAGCTTTCGAATTATTTGGAAATAGTGGCGGGTGAAAACCATGATTCAATAAAATGATTTTCTTAAACCAAGAATCACTTTCCCTTGCCTATGTATGCCAATTTTTAATCCCTTCGAGGGTCAAAAACTAGCATTCATCTTAATAATCTGAAATAGATAACATATGATCTAACGATACAGTATAGGATAATTTATTTATATGCTTAATTTTTTAAAAAATAGTGGTGGTCAAAAAGATTAAAAATTAAGTTTATAAATGGATGGAATATATACTAGAAAGCATACATTTTTCTACGACTTTAAATATATAAATAAAATTTTACTTTACATGCGTAAAAGTTGGCAGGTATGCAACTAGTCACACACACTCACCGAAAGGTTACTTGTAGATGAGATGCATGCAAACTCCTATCAAGTCAAGTCAAAAGTAAGGGAATAAACTAAATATCAAAGGCACATCACTACGTTAATTTATGTCAATCTTGTAAAGTTAGCGACGATTGATGGATTTTGAAAAAGTTTAGAGGGAATCATTTTCATGCGTAGAGAATGAGTCAAGAATCGGGCAAACAGCGCTTATCATAGATGCTCTCTTAAAAGAAAAGTGCATGGTACAAAGATATGACAAACATGCAGGGCCGGATTAACCTATAGGCACACTAGGCACGTGCCTAGAGCCTACGAAATTCAGGGGCCTACGAAAAACTTGGGAGAAAAAAATTTGTTGACAAAAATAATTTAGCTTTAAAAACAACAAGTGCATTTTGCACAAAATTATGAAGATACAAATAAAAATATAATATTTTTCGGTAATAAATTATTTTGCAGAATCTTATGATCTAATATATTACTTTTTTGCGATTTTTGGATTCAACGAAATCTTGTATTATGCTGTCGAATTCCAAACTACGCAAAATGTCGTATTCAATAGACATAAGTGCGAGCGATGCCAACTGCAATATCGGCAGTATGTCGGTATTGCAGATAAAGTTCGATAAACAAATTTGTAAATTAAAATCCATATTAATAAAAATGTAAAAAAATATGCAAAAAAATTTTAGCATATATTTTGAAAAGAGGGGAGGGGTAGGGGAAGGAGGGGAGGGCCCAAAAACGGCTATGCCAAGGGCCTACGAAAGGTATAATCCGGCTCTGCAAACATGTATGATTTAGTTTTTAACTCGACGAAAAGTATCAATGCTCTTAACAAGCAACATGAACAACAAAGAAAGCAGGAATATGAAGAACTAAGAAGTCAATAAGAAAGCGTTTATAGCTCAACTAAAGCATCAAAACAATCCTTCTGAACGAACGTATTTCCCGGATAATGAAAACCATAGACCTGACATTCTTGACTTAGCTATTTCAAATACCGATCTCCCAATAGCTGTCTGTGTATTTAATGAACTGTTTTTTGATCATCTCTCAATTTTATTCACAATCGGCACCTACTTTAGCATAGGAAAAGAGGAATATTTCAAAAACAGATCGGCGATCATACCGTAATATCTTGCAAAGAGATGAACAAATTATCGCACTGATGAACTTAACCTAACCTTAATTCGATCTTCAGTTTATAATCATGGAAGCCTATAATAAAGCAACAATTACTTTTCATTTCATTCCATATTTTCTTAAACTTACAATAAACATCAAAAATTTAATCCTAAGTAATTATATCCTTTTTATTTATTTGAAAATTTAATCCTTAATTTCTGTTATTATCCTTAATAGCAGAAATCAAACGTAGAAAGAACTATCAGAAGACAGGAAATCCAAAATATTAAATTGAAGTAGAACAACTCAATAAACTAATTAAAAAAAGACTGCAAGAACAATGGGAACACAAAAATCTAATCATTGGAATTTGAAGGACAAATCAATTTGGCAAATGGCGAGAGTTCTAAAACAACCACAACAAGTTAGTAAACCAATGATAAAAAAAATGGCTTTATTTACACAGGCAATGAAAAGGCTGAATATTTGCAGACTCTATGGAGGAACAATTTTTGCCTAATACAGAATTTGACAAAGACAATGAAAAAATATACATGTTAACGATTGTTCAGCCGTAGTTGAATAATATAACGATAACTTATTAGGAGAAATCTTTTCTTATTTGTTGATTTGTTACGCATGCGCTCTGAAACTCTTGCTAACTAGAATATTTTTGCCTGCTTCAATAGGATTAGCGATTTCGCTACAGCAGTTTACTTTGGCTTTAAGCGAGTTTCAGGGCACAGAGCCTTTTTCCCCAACTACTTTGGAAGTTTGAAGTATGTTCTAATTCAGTTTTTAATTTTAAAGTTTTTAATAAATAGTTTATTTCGGTAATTTAGTTTTATTTAGTTATTCGATGGCTCATATTAGTCTAATTCATGTTAGTATTCCCCACATTCTGGTCCGTCGAGCCGGAGCCATCGAAATTAAATTTTAGTTAGGGCTTTGAATTACTTTTCACGAGCATTCAATATGCCAAAATTATTAGAAGAGCTGCTTAAGCTGAAAAAAGTAGCTAAAAGTAAAGTTACTAGGGTAACTAATTCTATCTCTGACTTGTTGCAAAATACTGAACTTAGCGTTGAACATTCTGATCTTTGTTTACGTCAAAAAAGTGAATTCAATTTGGAAGTTTCGGATCTTTTCAAAGACATCTTAGTTGTTTGCGACGAAGAAAATTATTCAGAATACGAAACTGAGCTTTTCAACTTACTGAATAAATTAAGATAGTTTTGAATTGTCTTTAACACGTTCATGCCGGGGTGACCCACCGGTGGGTCACGCTAGATTGTCTCATCTTGGCGGCGCACCAGAGTAAAAACTGGTAACAAATAAATTTCATTTTTTAGTTTTTTCCCGGGAATAATAAAAATCCATAACAACCAATTGTTTTTAACGGATGCAATTTTTATATTGAATTGCTTCTTCGCCGTGATAAATTTCCTTAGAGTGAATTGTTATTGTTGAGAATAGATTAACTCCTCCCGAATATTGTCTAATATTGAAATAGTTCTTCGACCAGTATTTTCACTTTTCCCGGCGTGAACGTGTTAAAGAAACGAAATAGTAGTTTGACCGAAAATAGTAATTTGACGAACGCTCAATCTC